GGTTATTATTTAGAATAAGCATTTTTTTTAATCTTTCCAAGCATGTTTTACTGTAATCATCTGATTTATGATAAACCGAAGTCCTATTTATTTAATTAGTTTTTATATTTGCTTTTATATAGGGTATATTGATTTTGGAATTCCCTGAGAAATGAACTTTGATGTAAAGTCAACATTGCAAATTATGATATCACCGTTAGATTTTTATCTCTTCTCCTTCAGTAATTCTCTTTCCACCTCTGTATTTCCTCCGCCGAACCCTTCTTTTCCTTCTGTTTGCCTTATCTTCTTCATCCGAAAGCCAACACTCCAATCTTCTTCTTCAACCGGAAGCCTCCACCAATTCATATTATTAATCATGTCAACCGTCCGTATAAACTCATTCAGTCATTCCTCATCCGGTCGATTATCATTTCTTTTCCCTTTCATTTTCAGATATCTCCGATCAATCTCACAGCGTCCATCTCCTCTCAATTTTCCGCCTTCCTCCATTAATCTCCATTAATCTACTGTCACCTATATATGGCTATTAAAACAATAGTTTCGTTTTACAAAAAATGGCTGCACATTCCACAGTCAAACACATTGTATTAGTCCAGTATAGGGAACTGGACCGCTTCACGGCTTCACGGCTCCATCGTATTTGGAAACCCTCCACACCAAGCCGGCAATTGTTGCTGTAATTGAAGAGATCGACAAGCTTCGTCTGCCTCTCCCAGTGGAAGAGGAAGTCGTCATTCCCGTGTGAGAACAGTTACCAACTTTTTATAATTAGGAAAACAGGTATCTTCCTTAGAAAACTGCAGCCCCTTAATTTTATTTAGTGGTACGGTTGATTTTAATTCGATTTGGTGATACTAACTCAATTCGAAGTAATAATATTGTTGTGCTGATTTGATTGTTCAGGTTTGAAAGAACTTTTTTAAAAAGAAGTTCTACTTTGAAGAATATTTTTAGGTGAAGCCGGACTAGAGAGAATGTTTTAAATTGCGATTTTTCTAATTTACTGCTTTGAAGATACACTACATGCTGGAGCATTACTTTTGAATAACTAATTAACCATTTTTCTTAGATAAATACGGAGTACAAATTAACTTTGTAAAACTCTTGAATTTTGTTTTGTTTTGTTCATTTGGTTTTTCATGTTGGAAAGTCTTCTATTTTCAAAATGAATATCTAAGTTCTTGAAAAAACTGCTATAAAGAACTTCTATTTTTTTCTTATATCTTTTCTAAAGTTTGAGTTTTATTAATATGTGCTGCTCTGGCATTCTTAATACAGAGTACTATATCTCATGCACATGAAATGGAGATCATTTTGAAAGTTTACTTAAAGTTATTATCTAAAAGTATTAGTGGCAGTTTGTCTATTTTTGAAGTCATTCTCTTTGTTCTTTAATTCTTCATATTCATAGCACTCTTGCTGGAGCAAAATAATTGAGACAAAAGAAAGATAAATGGAAAATGAAAATGAATGAAAAATGAAAAAGAAAGCAGGGTTTCTTATTTTGATATTTGTCTTAATATAATTTCTTGGGCAGATAAGTATCACTATTTCAAGACAAGTTTGAACGTCGTGATTAGCACGTAAAGATGTCTAGGCTGCAGTTGGAGCAGCCAAACCGTAGTAGGTATGATTTTCTCTGCTTTCTATTTTATTGTGCAGTTAAATGAACAATAAGCATGAGAGATGTATTTGCAGGTTCATGGGTTAAAATTTATGGCATAAAGGTCACAACAATATACATATATCATCATTGGCTAGATGGTTATTATTTAGAATAAGCATTTTTTTTTTAATCTTTCCAAGCATGTTTTACGGTAATCATCTGATTTATGATAAACCGAAGTCCTATTTATTTAATTAGTTTTTATATTTGCTTTTATATAGGGTATATTGATTTTGGAATTCCCTGAGAAATGAACTTTGATGTAAAGTCAACATTGCATGTGAATTTTGACATTCTAAGTACGAAACCTTGAATTCGAGTAAAACCATTAGCACAACTCAAGTTATTGAAAAAATCCTAATAAATATGAGTTCCTTTTAATTATATATATTCTCTTTACTTAATCTATTTACAAGAATGGTAAGTCATGGACACAGGGAAATATTTCCAATAAGATGTAAAAGCGGATGAATATTTTCACAGCAGGGAATCTTCCATCGGGATCTTATGAAACGTAATAATGATATCTTAAGAAATATTTGCTGCTCCTTTCATTCTTATGAAACATAATAATTGTGCATAACATAATAACTTTATGGAATGATTTGCTTATGCAGCCAGATGATTTGCTACCAGATATCGCTTGGAGACTCAAAGCTTATGATTTTGGATTGAGTGCTCTTTCCCAGCACATCCGGGTAATCCCATAGGCCATAGTTATACCCCCTTACCCTTGCAATGATTTTCTCATAATAATAATTCAAAAGTATTGCAGTTAAAATTTGTGGCTGATTTCTGAGATGTAAGTTGTGATTAGGTGGTTGTTTGGCAGCTACTCCTTACTTATCATCCTGAATTGAAGATGAATGAGTTATAGGTGCCATTAGGAAGATTGAAATACTAAAGCCCACTGATATAATAACGAGGTGATGAAAGCAGTACTCATATTATATTATTAGGATAAACTTTTTAGTATGATTATGATAGTGCGATTGAAAAAAAGATATTCAATTAGATATTAAGATGTATTAAGATGTTCAATTAGATATTCATTCTGTGTGATTGTAGCAATCCAGAATTTGAAAATCCTATTAATTGACTAGCTTCATTATTTGTTACTATAATTGCTAACTTGCAGAGTTTGGCAAAGATGACCCTGTGATCATAGAGAACCATGGTGGAGGTGTTTATCAACAAACTAAAACAAATGGAAGACAAGAAGATCCAATCTGAATAAAAATGTACAACCACTGATTATATATGAGCCAGTTTTTTCATGTATTTTAGAGGTTCCGAAACTGTTATTACAGTCCCTATTTCATGTGCTTATAAATTCAACCAGACTAGGAAGCTTCAACCTCAAGTATGAATGCTAGCAACTAGACAACTGCATGGTATACTTTGTTCTAATACAAGTATGTGTGATGATGGTGGATCGGCCTGGTTCTGAATTCCAAATAGTCCGGTTCCCTATTCCATATTCCCCTCCACAAGAACCGATACCGGGGATGGACTGTTGGACCGGTTCCTGTCAGGGTATAGTGGGGTTCCCTATGGGGTTCACTAAATACAAAACTTTTGATTTGGTGTGTTGATTCAATATAAGTAAAGTTGAACTTACTTTTTTGACTGAATTGATTGAAATTATTGTAGAAGATTATTCTAGCTATTTTTTCATATGACTTATTCTACGTTTTATCAATAAAATATATTTCAACATCAACAGAATCTCATAAATTTCAATGGAATGAATTGATCCAACCAATTTTAATATTACCAAATGAGTTCATAAAAATTGAGAACTTTTTAATTCAAACCGAGAGACAAATATATGCATTCATTTAGGCAAATGATTAAAATACTATCAAATGAAGTAAAACAAATTTTCACCCCGTGCAACGCATGGGTGGAAAAACTAGTTTTTCCCTTAATACTATCTCTATATTAATGTTGGGGGTGTTACTAAAATGACAATTAGTTAACATCTCGACATTAGTTAGAGTAGTATTTATTTTCTTCCTCTATATTAATGTTAGGGAGTGTTACTAAAATGACAATTAGTTAACATCTTGACATTAGTTATAGTAGGATTTATATCTTCTTTAATATTCTTTCTTGAATATTAATTAATTCATATTCATATTTCATTTTAATATTTTGAGCATTACTTAAAGGATCAACTAGTTTTGTCTCATATATTAATTATTACTAGAATCGAGCGACGAATACGCTTGTTAATCGTTCGATCTTTTCACAGTAGTAAATTTGGAATATTAATGCATGCGTCTCATGGTTAATAATCTAAGAGGAATTAATTACATTGATTAAACCAATAAACCGCTTGTGTTGAGGTTATCAATTTCAATCGTTTTCATCTTGAATTTATTGCTACTATCGAGTAAATATACGGCGCGTGTTCTATATTAATTCGGTAGTAAGTTTTATTAATGAACGCGTCTCGTTATTTTTAACTACCCTCGATGAATTGGATATACTCCTCGATTGAGTATTCGAGAGGAAGATAGTTAAAGATATAACCGGGATCGACGAACATTTCATTAAGTGGATAAAAGCAAAACCAAGTCTTAATCTCAATTAATTAAACTCATATAAGTCGTTCATCTTCATATTTAATTAAATTAAATCACTCAAACCTAAACCCCCCTTTTGTTACTAGTTAATTAAAAAGAGAAATATTCCTTTCCCTGTGGATACGAACCTTACTTCGTTATACTACGTATAATTGTTGTATTGTATTATTATTTATTTTTGAGTGCACACCACGACAAAGTGCACGTCAACAATTCTACACGTTTGATCAGTTTTTGATAAGTTCATATTTTGATTGTATCCCTGCAGGCTTTTTGCTGCCATTTACACAATGTATGTTACAGCCGCCATAGATGATGACTCACAACTCTAGCATTCTCTGAAACTAAATAAGAAAAAACTGTTATGTTGATTCATCTGACATTGTTAGATGTACAGTGGGATAAAGCTAGAAAAACAGAAACTCATAGTAAGCATGCGTATATATATGTATACTCTGTATCTATATATCACGTATGGTTCATGTTTATGTCACCCGGGGTTTAATGTTGCCAGAAAAGGTCTTCCCATGACTCCACTTGTTTTATTGTGTTTTCTCTGGATTTCACAACAGTGTGGAGACTTGCTGGATCAAAGGGAGGTGGCATTGTGCAGGGTGGTGTGATTGATGCACCTTTCACCAGGGACTCCAACATGAATTCCTTCTCCAATCCTGTCGCTCCGCAAGCCATCCTCTCTGAACAAAGTTCAACCGCATCTTGAGGCTTTGTTGGTTTGTACTTCAAGAGCTTCGCATACTCATTCAACAGATGGAACATGTAGTCATACACGTATTCCATCTTCAGTTCTTCCTGAACATATTTGCTTCCTTCCTTTCCAATCTCTTGTGCCTGTTTTATACACATAATAAACATGCAATTTCAGCAGAAAAACTTCATTCATGAAGAGTAGACAATGCCTTACATGTTGGTTGATGTTTTTATATTTCATCAATATCAAATGAGTAAACCTGAGATGTGTTGTAAAAATCAACCCAAAAACTCGCTTGGGGTGGAAGAGTTTATTCCACACTGGTTAAACAAAAAGTAACAAACTACATATACTCATAAGACTTTGGACAACTCCTATAATTATTGAACTTAAACCTCAAGTCTACTTAGGCCCTTGATTGTTAAGATATAGCATTATTTAGGAAAACGGGTGTGATCAATGATGAAACATGCTGCAAAGAGATTGGATCTAGTGTCTTTGTGATTTTAAATCGATGATTACATATATATTTCGTGTGCGTAAAAATTTGTTTACCTTTTGCAAATGACTATTGCCCCATTCAACGGCATGCTTAATAGACCTGCATTTGTCATCATCCCTAATTGGCCAGTAGTGCTTCAATGGCATCAAACCTCTGGTGTAGAAATCATAGTAATGTGGTTTTACTAGTAAAGTTACAGAATCACATGCCAATATGTATTTCTCACTAACAGACCATGCTGATCCTTCAATGTAAATCTTGTATCTGTCATTTTCCCAACCAGAACCATAATTAGTTAATTAATTAATGTACATAAAAGCAATGTAATTAAATAAGTACAAGTACTCTAAATTGAAGTTATATTCTAGTAATTAGGTAGTAAAAATTAAAATTATTTTTTCTTTCCGACTGAGGTAGTGACTTTGTTTACCGGTGAATGCACTGGTCAGCTAGGTTGGACTGTTGGTAACCTTGTTTTTGTTCTTGGATCCAGTCCTACAAAGAAATACAGATGCCACACATTATTTTTGTGCTTCATGAATTATATGTTTTAAGACTATGTTGATGAGTTACGCCTATCATTTATTTTTAATAGACTGCATCTGTGCATTAGAGAAATTTTGTGGGCAATTTACCTGGGCGTACACACGAGCACCCCAATCGTGCTTCTCGGAGATGTTACATTTGAGCAAATCCTTTCTGGTTTCTGCAACTTCAGGGTTTCCTTTCCAGTATGCATATGGTTCTCTCTCCACCCAACTGATCTTTCTATTCCCTTGCTCCAACTCCTTTGATAAAACCTCCCATGGCTTAATATTGATTTCAGGCCTGAAACATAATTCAAGTCCCTTCCAAATGAATTTTGGTCAACCATTTCACAAGTGTCAGATAACTCACACTTGCTAAAGAGAGTTCTTTTAGAGTTGAGTTAATGATAAACTTATTCTTAGCAGCTGAAGAGATATATAAAGCTAGGTAGACACATGCATGCATACCATCCCCAGAAGGACCAATCAGGAAAGACAATATCCCAAGTAGTGTCGTCCCCGCAGTATCGGAACAGTGGAGGTGGGGCTGTGTTATTTGGACCTGGAAAACGTCTCTTCTTGACGACGGGCCAATCAACATTGTCAAACATTAGGTCCAAATCGGGCACTTTTCCAGGATACCTTCTTAACAGTTGTAGAATGCCCCATAAGGTAAAAGTGTCTCTACTTTGAAATGACTTGCGGTATCTCTGATAGTAAGCAATCCCATTCACTATGACCAGCCGGAAGTTGGCAGTTCTCCTGGCCCTCATCACCATTTCTCTGGTTATTCCAGTCTCCCTCCACGCCCACAAGTCGTCATAGATCCAACGGAAATATTCGGGGCATGATGATGGAGGTGTTGTTTGGGAGTCTTGGATTTCTGTGGGCAGCTTTGATGGGTAATAATTTGGAGGGCAGCTTTCCGTAGGATTTTCAAGTGAGCAATCCAGTGGGATTTCTATTCTTTGAGGCATTTTTGGTGTGTTGTGGGTGTCATTGGAATATGTCGTGAAAGTTAACATTGACTTCTCCGAGGATTTTCTACTACCAGTCTGCAAACTCAAGAAACAAGAACCCCTGTTTCAGTTAAAAGGGATTCTGACACTGTTGTGGCTGTTAAATTTCTCAGTTCCCCTACACTTTCATTTGTTGAGTCCTTGAGACTAGCAAGTCCAAAATTTATCTTTATAGGATTATAATTTCTAACATTCACTTACAAAATTAAGTATGCGTTTACATGAATAATGATTAAATTAAAGAGAGAGAAAATAGCATCAAAATATGTATCATACATCATACATGCAAGACATCATTAATTCAAGAATAAAAAACTAACTAGTCCTATTTTAGGAATTATAACCTTTTTCAATCATATTGCTAGAAAGCTAGCAATTTTCTCTCTTACAACATCTCCATCCATGAGTTTATTTAAAGATTATCATTGCGTGTAAGAGATTATTAAATTATTTAGTGAGATTATTGAAAAAGAAAATCCGGTATCAAGATTCAAATCCCGAATTATTTTAGATTGTAGTTAAATTACATTTAATGCATGTCCAGGAAAAACTGCTTATTTGAGTATTATTGTTTTTTTATCATTAAAATTCAGTCTTTTATATCATAAGTTTCAGGATCATTACATCAATCAAAGGAAGAAGAAAACTGACACCAACTACTAGACTCCAACAATTACGACTATAAACCCTATGATCAGACTTAGAAACGATCACCTCAGCAACACGAATCGCTAACCATGTAACGGGCTTGACACAGCCATCCATGTTCCCATAGATCCAAACATACTCAAAGACATAAAACCAAGCTAAATTCCCAAACAAACTGACAAACCTCTAGCAACAAAGATGACAACGAGAAACCAAGTGACAAAATAATAAAAATTTATTGGAAAACTTTCACGGGCTCTAGCCTCTCGCACAACCCATGGTGGTGGTTCAGGAGGAGGCCGTACTATTGGTACCTCAGTACCTCACTACTTGATTCGATCAAAAGATGGCCTATACGAAACCCATGCAAATCTCCTCATCCCACACGTGAGCCTCAATCACTGCTTGCAGTCATCATCTTCGTCGCCATGCCCTACAACTCTCGCATCGCAACCAGAAACCATTGCAAACCTCGTGTCGCCATGCTTTGGTATATTTTTTTATTTATATACATATATATATTTCGTTATGTATTTTTTTTAAGAAAAACGATTTTATTCATAAAGTAAAATAAAATTACAATGCAAAAAGAGAAATAAAAGAAAAAAGAACGGAACGGAAAGTAAAAGAAAATACAAATAATAATAAAAACTAGATCCAAGGAAATTCTGTGGAATGTGATCTGGTCCTCATACTATGACGCCTCTTATTCTTATGAGATTTCCTCTAGATTTTGAGTTGTGTGTTCAGTTTTTCTGTTGGCAAGCAGTTTTCGGAGGATCGTAAACTTGCAGGTTTTCTGTAAATTTACAGGTTTCCTTTTCGGCAGATCGTTCTATTAAATTTGGATTTTCTAATGTCCTTCTAGTTTGATAATGGGGGTCGACGATCACTTTCGGTCGCATGTCCTAGGAAATCGTCTGAGAAGAAAGAGTCATCAGGCTGATCAAAATTGTCGGAGACATCAGAGTAAGCCCTGGAGGAGAGGAATTTGTGGTTGTTTGTCAGATAAGATCAACTGTTGCTTCTCGCCGAAGGCTCTCTGAACTTCATGATTAAAAATGAGTTTGGAAATGGTGATTTCTTCAGAGTCACCTGAAGTGCCATACTTCCATTTCATGACTTCCTCCTGCTCAGATGATAATTTAACAAAATTAGAAAATAATGTTAAAAACTCATTGAGATTAGAATTGGATGGGCCCGTGGGAACTAAAATGGAGGTCCCATTTTCTTTAGAACTCTTCAGATTAGAGCCGAGTTTGTTGTTCTGAGTAGAGATAGTGATAGACCTGATTTTTCTGCTCTGTCTGAGCATGTGATTTGTAATATAGAGTGGTAGATCCGTGGAGCGTAATCTGATTTGAAATTAATCATTCTAAGTGAGGATTTTTGTATCTCAAAAATTTCAATTTCATCTTCTCTTGCAGCCAATCTGAACACTTTGGATTCAATTTTGATGGAGTCAAAACCCTACTCTCCAAAAAATTGAAAATTTTCACAATCCTTGTAAGAATCATCTGGCGTAAATGTTGTATCTTTGTTAGCTGTAATTTCTTTTATTTTTGAGGATGGCTTCAGGATTGTAGAAGATGTGCTGCCTTGGGCTCCACAAGTGTTAGCATCCCAACTCACAATTTCAGCTCATGTGAGTCTTCGTACAGCGCCTGTTGAATTAGTCACCATGACTGGTTGCCTGGCTGGTTAATTATTGAGGGCCCCTGCGAAGGTACTGTGACCGACATCTCTTCTCCTCCGATGAATGCTGGTCTTCCCCCTTGACCCTGAGTACCCGCAGTGCTCTTCTCCGCCAGTATCTCAACCAAATTTTCCGGTGTGGGGACGGCTATGCTTCGCATGTGAGAACCGCCTTCCATAAATTGGGGTCGAATTTGGATTCTGTGATGATTAAAATCTTTCTTGTGTAGATCTACAGATGAGTGATATTCCTCCAAATCTAAAGGTTGAAAACGGTTGTGCTTAACCAAATTGTGGTTGCTGACCTTTGAATTTCACAGGATGCGTTGGTGGTTGGAGCGACGTCGCCCGTGGTGGACTATGCACCAGGAATCTTCTGGGTACTCTGCTGACGACAAGGATGGAAAAGGGTTGATGCGTTGTTGTTCGTGAAGTAGCCTCCGGCTCGGAGTAGAGTACTGACGACCCATCGGAGGAAATACCTGATTGGTATTGGGCTTCGTCGTGTAGAGTCCAGACACTTGTGAACCGTCTTTCCGTTGTCTGAGCCTGCGCTGTGGACGCGAGTAATGGGAAAGAGAGTTAGGTGGTTGTTGTGAGTCCCAGGCGTCGAAGTCGGTGGTGAGTCTTGGGGAATAGCTGCAAAGACGATTGCAACCATTCGATTTGGTGAATCTTGGGGATGCCTCACGTCTAGTTCTCTGTTGAATTTAGGGTCGTAAAGGAACCAGTGAATTGGTTCTTCGATGTCTTGGTTGCACTGGTAATGATTGGAATAGGTGAGTATCATAGTTTGGATGTTGCGGATTTCGGCGATGTTGCCGGATAAGTAATCCCATGCGCCGGGAAGCTACAGAGAAGTGGGAGATTCTCTCATTGTTTTCCCCATATTTCGTTATGAATATATATTTATATATTATTATTATTATTTTTGAAAACATATATTTATACATAATACTCGGTATACATAGTATTTATATACTACGTATTATATATAACATATTTAAAAATTTATTTATAAATAATTAGTATTTGTTTAATGCCTAATTGGTAATTCAGTTTTACCAATTACCGAACCGGATTTTCCGAACCAAAACGATTTAGTTTGGTTCGGTATTCGGTATGTGAAAATGCATAACTGAAATTTCGGTTCGGTTCGATATTACCGAATGAACACCCCTAACTGAGCACATGGCACCTAAGATGAAGGGATTTGGCACCCCTATTCACCCTTTGCCTTAAAGAAAGCCGAAGGGAAAAAGGCAACAAAAAAGAAAATCTCCTTTTTATGAAAAGTGTTACTCCGTATAACTTTTTTTTATGAAGGGATTTGGCACCCCTATTCACCCTTTGCCTTAAAAAAAACATGTTGGATGACGACAAAACATGTTAAAGGAGGTGGAAAATTCGAGCGAGGTGTGGACTATAAAAAATCTAAAAACGGGACTAAAATTTAAAATTTGGACCCAACCATTCTTGCCCGGCAGACAGTTCAAAGCCTCCGTGAAACGGTAGAGAATCTCCATTATTGAAAAAGTCAAAAAAAAGGGTATGAGTGATGCTTTACTGTCAGCCGCATGTTGCGTTCAATATCCAGCCAAGAGGATCTGCCAGCAACGTTTTCTTTTGATAATTCAGCGACTTATGCTCCCATAATTATCTTCCAAAGTCCCAAAAATCCTAAATAGATACGTCCGGATCTGATCACAGTCAAACTTGTTACTATTAGCTCCTAGAGGACAAATCCAGCAGGATTTACATCACCTGTTTTCAAGGCTGCTCCCCCCACCACACGAACTCGCTATCTTCATTATCACCCTCTCCCTTCTTAGTCTCTGTTCTTTTTTTTTCGAAAATCAAATAACTAATTTATTATCAAAAGATGGCAAAGATACAAGAGAATGAATATCATATGGCTACAATAGGATGACTACAATAGGATGAGACATAGAACGGAATAGATCTAATGAAACCTTCCAGATCGCTAACCCCGCAATAATGTGGTCTAGTTTAACAAACTCGCTGCTCTTCTTGCTACTCCAAAGAGAAAATAAAAAATTACAACTAAAAGATCTGGCTTTACCAGCCAACAGAAAGGGAGAATTGGTTTGACCAGCAACCAACAAAGGAAAATTAGTCAAGCAGAAATTTTCAGAAGCATCGGTTTGACCAGCCATCAAAAATGATATCTAATTGATCATCTTCTTCTTCCTAGAGTGAGGCGGTGGTTCAGGTGGTGGGCGAGTATTTGAAACATCGAAACAACAAGGTTGAAAAAGCTTTACCAACCATGAACAATGAAAATTTACCAGATCGATTACACCGATTAGAAACATACAACCTCTACACATTGCTAGGAGAATAACATACCACACGCTTAGGGTTGGGGATGGCCGCCTAGGGTTCCCTCTAGGGCTGGCTCTCCTGTAACCGACTCTTAGTCTCCCTTCTTAACCGTGAAGGTACAAAGAATCATTGGGAGCAAGACCTTCCTCCTCTCCCCTAAGTGTCTAGCGGGTTTCGAACCCGAGACCAAACACTAGGGAAGGTAACCTTGCACCCAGCGGACTGGAGTGCTCGGTTTATGATGGCCTCAATGTGTATTTAACTAATAATAATCCCAACAATTTGTACACTTTAACACCAAGAGCATCTTCGATATAAAACGTGAAAGATAATCAATTAAAAACAAT